TTCGATCGTCTTAATTTGGTGTTTATTGATTTAACTGTCTCCTGTGACTCCCTCCAGACAAATACTGACTCTCGAACCAATCAGTCGACTTTGAATTTGTTGGAGATCAAATTAATTGTCATTATCCTACTCTCCATTACTTAATTAACATACGGGGGCAGTCAGGGAGTGGGGAGCAGTCTGGGATGAAGTTGGGGCCGGGGTTGGGCAGGGAATGAAGGCAGTGAAGGCTGTGTGTATAGGGACCCGTGTTCCTTCATTCCCAGGTTCTATTTGTAATATCGCATGTCCATGTATGATAGATAAGATTTCAAGACCGAATGCTGAATAGCTTCTAGAAATATGTTAATTATCAAACTGATAAAGCAAGGTAAGCCATATTGGTTCTATGTTGAGGACCATTTCCAAATAAAAATGTTTAGAATATTCTTCTAATGAATGACTCACTAACTTTGCGTGATTCGAAACAAAGTGACGGCAATAACTTAACCTGTAAATTGATTCCATAACTATACATGTTGAAGACACATGTAATTAATGCACCTATCGGTATAATAGAACAAAATACTTAATATTATGTAGCATTAAACTTTTGTGATTTAAATTGAATATAAATATACATATAAAAATTGGATTGGTAAGTTTTATGGTTGCCAATGCAAAAAAAAAAAAGAGTTAGGAAAACTGAGAACTCATTTACATCTGGAATGGAAAGATGAGGGATCGATGATTGGCAGGTTACTTCTGCTGCAGTATGATGTTCAGAAGTATAATGATGGATAATTCTCTTATTAACACATGGCGTAACGTTTCTTAATGTGAACGCGGCCATCAGTTCTCCTATCATCACGCATTAATTAATCGTCTTACTGTATTTCATAATAAAAGCTCCATCTGTCTCTGTCATGTCTAGATGTGATTTAAGAAATATATCTGCACCTGATATCTACATCGTCGTCTGCACCTGATCAGCGTCCGTCATCGTGAACCGTTCCCCCCTCTTCCCCCCGTCACTCGCCAGTGTATTGATTTTATTATGATCCTTTCACTCGTGTTTGGCTTACCAAAGAAAGCCTCGCATTTCTGCTTCTCTTTCTCTCACGGTTTTGTGCGCTTTAAACAAAGGAATATATCAATAGAAATAGAAGGTGCAGTGCAAGCCCGATATATGCGCAGATTATATAACTACATCTAAGCGACCACTACACGTTATAGAGTGAGATCAGAGAGACGCTGAGGGTGAGATGTGGACACCGTGTACAGCAGTGGATATTACGGCGTTTTATTCCAGGGAGAACTTGCCGTTAAAGTGATGAGTTTGGAGGGGGTTATCATCAGGACGGCAGACATGGCGCCGTGGACGCCCCCTATGACTACATCTAGTGCTGGTGCACTGTAAGTACAGCCTGGGGTGGGGTGG